CACCATCATGTCTATAGAATTTGATTCTGAGACAAAGCTACACACCTCCGCCCAATTTTCCCTGCAAAACCGCCGTGGAGCGGGAGGGATAAATTGGTATCATGGAGCGGTAGATCAACTAATTTGTCTGGTTTAGCTTACCTTCATGAAACTTCGCCAAATTCGTCGAAGAAACCCGTTAACTACAATCACCTTTTACAATCCCCGTTCACACTTTTCCCAGAGATATTAAATTTTGCTAACCACAAAATGCGACCCCCTTCTCGATATCGCAAATGCGACTCCTTCGTCTGAAATGTGCGAGCGGACCCTGCGTTACCACTCAGTGATCAGGTTTAGCAATTTTTTGATGCATCCACAGAAGAACCAAAGCCAAGCTAAATCGAAACACCCGCTCGCTCGTATCGGATCCTGTGCCGCCCAAAAATGCCCACGAATCACGTGATTTTCACGCTTTTTGTTACAACTCGAGAGTTTTCGAAATCTGACGATACTATTAGGTTGTCGGAAAATCGCTCGCATTTTCTTCATCATCTTGCAAAACCTTTGAATCGTTTTGAAACATTCACTGTCAATTGTAGTCAATGCTCTCTCCACAGCATTTCTGTCGTAGCATTTCCCAGCTTTTGAAGCTGAAGAAATCATCTTCCACTGGAAGGTATGTTTGACTGCTCCTGCCTTTATAAGCCCACAAAGCAAGTGCGTCGATTGAAGCGAAGCAGTGAAAGGCCTACGTGTTGTGATGGACCTCCAGACTATCTTTCACAACATGCCAATTATTTGGTTGCCGAGTCCAGATACTTGAGAAAAAACCACAAATCTGGTCGGCCTGCTACACTAATTAAGAGTGTATTGAAGTCGATTGGAAAGAGTTCCGGGTGCAATGCACGGGAGTTGGCAGAGCTTTTTTAGTGCTATCAGTGCCAGTGGCTGCTCCTCCATATCGCTAGAAAAGAAACGAAGATACGGCGAAAGGAATTCCGTGGTCTGACTAACCATCACCTTCAGAGGCAGAGAACATCGTAACTAGGCGCCTATCTCTCTTGTGACCGGTATAAGTGAAGCCTTCACATAAATCACACGAGAAAGCACGACTGGCTCGGACGCGAAAAATTGCAACGCCGATTCCACAACTGCAACGTGGAAGGGAATTTTGAGAGCTCATGAGGCTTTAAAT